ACACGCAGTTTAATGCCTGCTAAAAGAGCTAATTGCTAGCCATCCTCTGTACAACCACTTAACCTCTCCCACCAGATTTCGAACTGAAAACAAGCCGTAGATACTGGATCTTTTGCTCACTAACGAAGAACACATGGTTGACATGATAGTTAAAAGCACACCACTGGGTCGTAGTGATCATGTTACTCTATTCTTTGATTATATATGTTATGCGGAGCACCATGAAAAGAAGGATGATAAAGTGTATACTGTCACCTACTACTGTGTGTTATCTAAGCTTGTTAAGGATGCACGTTGGACATTTTTAAACCGAATGCCACCCCAGATGTTGCCTGGGAAACATTTGCAAGGACTTTAAGCACACTGGGTATGCACGCATAGGAACAGTCATTTATAAGGCGCATAAAACGTAAATGTATCTCCCGAAGTAATTTGTCATAGCGAGCTCACCAGGACGGCTCAAATGCCGTAACCTGGACTGCATACGTGACACATCGTAATTACTGTGTGAAACTGATCCGTGAATACAAGGTCACTCATCAGCAGAAGTTAATGAAGCAATTCTGCAGGAACCGCAAACTTCTGTACAGGCAGGTTAACGGCCTTCCAAATGTGAATCGGGGGTTCCAACACTAGTCACGGCTGATGGGTACACGCGAACAGCAATGGGTGCAGCTGATCTCCTACGGATTCATTACTATCAAACTTTTCAGCAGGTAACGAGCCCAAAAATTCACCTCACTTCTAATACTCCACCATCTGGTTTAGACAACATCACCTTCACTGCGGTAGTTGTGTTGAAGAAGTTGTTATTCTTGCGTATCCATAGTTCTCCTGGACTGGACAATGTCTGACCAAAGGCAGTGCAGGTGGTAGCTAGTGATTTAGCAGAACCACTAGCTGTTTTTTGTCAGCGATGTCTAGAAGAGAACCGTATTCTACCAGTATGGAAGCGAGGGGTCATCACTCCTATCCATAAAGGAGGTAGCCGCACTGAACCTGTGAACCGCCGTCCAATAACACTACTTCCTGTAATATCCAAAATGATGGAATCAATCATCGCAGATGCGCCTTGCAGTATCTGCAAAGCCACAACTTAATAGCCAAAGCGCAACATGACTTTGGTCAAAAGCCTTAATGTATTACTAACCTATTACCTGTACACACCAGTTGAACTGAAGCTGTTGAAGATGGAGTAGGATTCGATGTCCTTTACCTGGACTTCTTAAAAGTGTTTGATTGCTTAGACCATGGAATTATTTATCAGAAACTTTGGAACAACGGCATTGGCTACCCAATCCTGTGTCAGATTAGCAATTTTCTACACGAACGACGGCTGGAGGTGAGATCCACAGAATTATTGTCCGATGCAATCGATGTGGCGTGCGGAGTACCACAAGGCTCGGTTCTTGGACCTCGTCTATTCTTGGTGTTCCTTAACCATTTGACGAGATCACTTGCTTCCGATTTCCTGTTTTTCGCTGATTATATCAAGATATGGCAAAGGAAAGGAGGACCGGACGACCATGAACGGCTTCAGTGCGATCTTAACACAGTGTCGAACTGTTCAGTTCAAAACACCCTACCATGCAACGTAAACTAATGTCGCGTTGTACAATTACGTCATAGACATAACTACACATGGTTGCTTTGGTCAAGCGGATTGCAGATCAGCACCCAGGAACGAGACCTTGGTGTGCTCGTACAGGGCGATCTCAACTGGCCAAAACAGACTGAGTTAGCTGCAACAAGAAGCAACCGACACGTCAGCGTGCTGCGAAGTGTATTCGGGATCTATGGCCCATTAATCTTTCCAATGATTCACAAATCCTACGTGCGCCGCATGTTGAATCCACTATGCAAGCTTGGCAACCTTGGTTGAAGCGCGACTTAGAGGCGTTAGAGGCAGCATAACGAGGCGCAACAAAGAATGTAAAGGACCAGCGTTATCACTCTTACCACCGAAGGCTTAAGTTGCTGGGAATTTTCAGCGGATGCTATAGAATGCTACGCGGCGATGTCATATTATCGTATCATATACTGAGTGACCTTAACCACGTACGTTGTCACTTGCTGAAACAGCCACAACATGAAGCTCAGGGGTAACTGCTTAAAATTGAAGGAACAATATAACCGTATAAAGTGTCGACGGAATTACTTTTCCCTTCGGGTTTGCGGAAGCGTTCATATTAGTGCATACAGTATGGCGTACGATCACTTAACAGGAAGACCATGGTGATCTCAGGCCTGATCTTAACGAGAATTACATTTTGTTAGAAAGCAATGCCCTACTATTCAATGTATAAAAATGTGGCATTGTTCGACTGTGTAACAGCCATGGTTAGATGCATTGGCTGGGAGCACAAATAATGCAGACAGGTACCCAGCAACTCTATTTGTGTGCACATACATAGTGAACTATTTACAACAAGCATTTGAAAGTTTTTAATCATCTGTCTTCCCGATGATGAAAAAATGTGACCTTCGTCCTTCAGTTGAAGAAACTACTCATGTTTGTCAATCTAGGTTATGGCACAACCTCGAGGTGCTACCGACAACGTAATAGAGGAAAACAAACATCATCAAGGATCTGCGCATTCTCTCTTACTAACTATGTTAGATGCAGTTAGACCAATTGACCATTGGTGCATTGTTTCATAAATTCTGTGAAAACTAAGCTGGTGAGAACTCATACCTAAATATAAGGTAGAAAGCGGATTTTGGTAGACTCACCATGGTATTCTTATTGCCATACACGTGGGGTGTTCAAAATGAAACCAAATTTTTGAAATAACACGGCAAACGGCCGAGTAAGTGCGCTGCAGATACAATGTGTATGTGGAGGCTTGCCTAGACAAAAATATGGTTCGATGCATTTCATTTTCACCGTTACTTGGGGTGCTACAGACGTTGAAGTGAGCAAGTGCGCAAACTGTTCCTCGGACTAGTGCCTAAGGGATAACGAAATAGGTTAAAAAGCAACGCGTGTGTGTGATAGTTTGCTTCAAAATTGGCAAAAGTTTTTCTGTGACTTTTTATTTGCTTAGCTAAGCATACGAGGAGGAATGTATGAATCGCGCAGTGCTATGAGTGGTTCAAGTTTTTGAGCACAGTGGGATGTTGCTTGATGCCTATCCGAAGACTAGACGACCTTCCACAACAACAGATCATGAACATGTCAGGAGAGATAGTGCTGGTTGAGAAGTTTCTGACAAAGTGAGCATCAGCGTATGTTCATATCATCGATGTCTTACGGGTTTGTACCATGTTGTGCGTGGGAAAACCCCTTGACTGTGGGAAAACTATACTTGCATGTCACACCACGACAATGCGCTGGCTAAAGCATCGCCCCTTGTTGAGAGCTTACCAGCATAACAACGCACTCCGTTGGGTCTTATCCATCGTTTTCTCTGAATGTAGCCCCTGCATACTTTTTCCTGCTTCGAAAACTTAAAACCAATTTTAAAAGACCACGCCTTCAAACCATATTTATTTATTTTGCCAAGTTGTCTTTTAATGTGATGCACTTTGCTTAAAAAAATTATAATCTGTAGGAACAGAGTATATCCTTGTTGATAAGTTTGCTAAAGGAGCTAATTTATCTTTAGCCTGAGGCACGTTAGGCACTTAGCCCTCCGAGTAACAATTATTAAATCGTAGACTGATCCATTAGCAGTTGTTCTCTTATTTCTGGAGTTAAGGACAAGTGAAAACATGTCATATCACTCCGGCGTGATTGTAAGGTTTCACATATAACCATTTGCCTACCGTCCCTGTCGAATGTAGTCCCATAAAGCAGTTCACACCTTGTTTTGACAGACAGCGTCTTGTAGCCGGGTGTGTACTTCGCGCCAGAAGAAACTTGCCAAGCCGATGTTTGGGGTATTCTTTGGGAATATCTACTTATCCTGAGCCACAAAATAGTTTTCTGCTATTGGTGTCAGCTTGCTCTAAAAAGTATATTTCAGGGGTGAAATTGCTTTTTGGTTGTTGTTTTGATGTATAACAAGCGCCACAGCGGCACCAGAAATACGCCGACACAAGGTTTTCTCCCATACCGGTGCACGTGCTCAAAGGTCACTTAGTATGTATTGCTTGACACATAGATAATTGTCTCACGGTAAACTTGAGTTTAAGTCAAATGCGGATTTATCTATTATTACTTAGAGCAGCTTTTCCTAAGCAAATAACGAATCAACGAATGCGATACCATTATTTGTTAACATGTCTACACATACAAACACAATACGCAGGATTTTATGATTACGCGGTTTACGACATTCGAAAACCCTTTATTGCTACAAAAACTATTTATATTAATCCTTGAGATATCGAGGCAATAACCCATTCATGTATAATAATACCACTTCCTAGTAGGCGGATGATATCTCGTAAAAATAATGAAAATTCTCTTGCCAATGGATAGTTTGCTGCTAATTGATGAGGGTTTATTCTAACCAAATGTAGTGCAGTTACTTTTCGTAATAACCCTTGTATTAGTCCCGATGCCTATAGTAGAAGCAGTCATATGGCACATGACGATTATAGGAATGGACGACAAAACTCCAAGTTTACAACATCTCACTGTCTGATAGACTGCACAATAATTGCAAAATATATCGAATTTAAACTGTGCCTAATGCAAAACTGGAAGCAAACTAACTACATACTAATTGTTGTATTAAACAGGATATATACGTTGCCCTTGCTACTAGTCTGGTTTATTTCGCAGAATGAATTAATGGATCAGGATCAATCAATTCTACATAGAAATAATGCAAATATTTGGAGAAATTTTCTAAATCATCTTTGTAGGTTGTGATTTTATATTTTGAGCACCATCACTCAAAATTGCAGCAATACAAAAATGATATTGCGCTACAAAATTCTCTGTAAGCAGGATTATATCATTCCGCCAATTATCACTGCATCTTCATAGGTCCCAGTTATTTCTTTATTAAATCATGGAAACACTTCCCAATTCTTTACTTATAACACAGCGGTAATGTTGACCGGTTTTGCTTATGAAAATGGCAAGCAAATTTTATGGGATGAAGCATACGAAGAAGGAGAAAATTTGAAATCTACCTTGCTGTATTATTCTATATTCAGAACAGTGAGTGCAATCCTGAGTTAAACAACTTAGTGGCTTAAATGCATACCTTGATGATATATACGAATAATTATTCCTTTATTTATAACAAAATGTCGGATTTATTCGACATAACTCCTAGTTTTATCCCAAAGTAGTTTTGACAAGATAATATTAAGGAAAGAATAAATTATGCAGCTCATGTATCCGGGATATGGCCATGTCCTTTATATTAAAGGTATAGCATTATTTTATTTCAAAGAGTTATAAGTAAACGAATTTGCTTACGCGACTGAACCTAACGGATTAGAAACATAAATAATGAAAAAATGCCGTTACTTTGAGGCCCTTAATTATATTAGCTAGAAATATCCGCCGATCTGGTATACATGATCTACAACAAACGTTTTTAGATAATACTTGACGAAAATTGGGGTGATACCAATTCAACTCCCATCTCCAGATCCGCGCACTCAGTCTTAATATTTGTAGATACGTTATAATAAACAGCAATTAGTGCTGAATCTTTTGAACCTATTACAAGTTTGTGGGTGCAGAGGTGATTTGGTTTAACTCTAAGCGATTCTGTCCGCAAAATCCAATGCTCTACTACACAAATTGTTGTCTATTTTGCTGGGGTCGCCGCCTTTGTTAATAGGCTTTACTACCGAACATTTCTAGTCAATTGGGAATCGACATTCGGGCAGCGACCCATTGTAAAGGTCGGTCACCGCAGGAAAGATGTGGTCGAAATTGACTTAAGAATGAGTGTGTGAAGCCCATCAGGTCCGGCGGTTTGGTGGGTAAATATTAGCGAGTAGTTGACATACCTCTTCAACACCGCAATCCAGACTGTCAAGTTCGGTAATAACGGTACACGTCGAACTCGGAACAGACACCTGGTCATTCGCAAACATAGCAGCGAATTGCCCAGTCAAGACGAACTTACGCTCAGTGCTGGATGTTAAGGCTGTCCATCCGGGCCATCCAGCACTGGCACGTCACCTGCCGGCTTCAGTCGTCGCATCACGTAAGCAAAGATGCTCTTTGCGGCGGTCTTTGCGGCGATTGCATGCTGCTCTTCAAAATGTCGGCGTTTATTCCTTTTCGCACTGTTGCAGCGGTTCTGCTGACTTTCATACACTTCGTAATCATTGGCAGAGCCAGAGAGGAGAAATTTGTCATACAGTCTGCGCCACCTCCAAGCCAGATTTCCGTGCTGCTTGTCAGACCAGTGGAGCTTAATATGTCCAACCTACCGACACCTTAATGGCAAAAATTGTGAACACAATGATGTCAATCTCTCTTTTATAAATATCTACCAGTTTTCCACAGATCCAGCTTGTGACATTGACCAATCCAGTTAGCTCGCGGCTCGAGCTAGACCATCGGATTCCGTTTTATAGTTGTCGTAATCTGGTCCTAACGAATGTGAATAAGGTAACTCCATATTAGCAAGGAGCACTGAATGGTCGCTTGTAGCCAGGTGCTGCAGGATCCGAACGGCACGCACTCGTTATTCGTAGCTCGTTAACATTGTTTCGAGGCAAAACCAGGTTGATTGTGTTGTTATGCGCTTTGGCTGGCATATGTGTTGCGATGCACCAGTGGCTAGCAGCAAATCCAAGAACTTTGCTTTTACCTCACCATTTCTAGGAGTCAAAAGCAAGTCAAGTCACTGTAGTAGAGTGCAGTTGAAGTCTCCCATAAGTAGGAAGTGTGGACGGCTCATGTGGGTTCGAAGAATGGGCAGCCAATTCAAACAACGACTCAGCGGCTGCGATAAACTTTACCCACAAGTAGTTCTCCGCGCCTGAGGTGGATGGAGCACCACAGTAGCTCAAAGAATCCACCGTCACTTCGGTAGGTGCTCAAAAGTTGCCCACGCAGTGAAGCCCGGATATAAAGCAATACATGACCGCGGTCATTCTTTAGTGCATTGCATAGGCATCACGAGTAACCCTTGTGCCCAACTAATTGGGCAGATAACTCTGAATGCAGCCATGTCTCTGCAAGTCACACTACATCTGGCCGCTCAGACGCAACGAAAGAACACAGCGCATCGCGCTTGTTCATAAGACTACAAATGCTTGTGAAGGCTACTTGCAAGCGGCAGCATGATCCGCCGGGCATGCTTTGAGTGTGAGCAGCCTGTTTGTGCTGATTAACGGATTGTTGGAAACCACCCGAAAACTTACGATACGAATATTTGTTTGCGTCTCACCAGTGCGTCTTTTCAGCTCAGTGATGGCAAACTTGAGACGTTCCCTGTCTACTGCGTCTAGGTCTGGACGAACATGGATCATCAAAGTTTTCAGCCTACGTAGGCGGGTTATAATCATTCTTTGACTGGCTTTGCCCACAAAGTTGATTCTCATAGGCTGATTTTGTTGATCATCATACTTTCCAAGACGGGCACATTACCTCACTTGTTCCAAGTCCTCACCAGTTTCAAGGAGACTTTTTATCAGACTCTGTAAAAGCTTGACATCGTAATCGTAACGCACTTGTGTTGATGGATCACTAGACTCCGGCGCGTGGAAGATCACAAGGTTATAACGCCTCTGGTTGGATGAGGTTTTCCTTGCCGGGCGAAGTATATTACCAGACTCAAGTAGTTTGGCTAACTGTTAAATTACAGATGTTAAACGCCCTTCGTAATTTATTTCTTTGTTCTTTCTACTGGTCTTCAGTACTCAGCCATTCAACTGTTGGGATATGAACACTCGATGGAAACAACAATGGTAAATAATTTATGCCAGGGGAAACTGGGCTTCTCTCGACCGTTGAACTTAGTGCTGGTGAGCTTGCAAGAGAAGAGAGGAAGACTGAGGTAAAACCAGAAGGCTCTTCGAGCTAGGTTGTTGGGTTTAACACACGGAGCTGCTTTCGTATTTTCAAATGTCTACCTCCTACATTTGGAGCGCACATCATGCCAAGTATACATAGACTTTAATGGGTTCCACTTCATGAATGATGTCTACGTATTATTGACAAGTTCAGTTGCTTCAGAGACGAAGTAAGCATTTGAACCCATCTAGTGGCAATTTCAATAAGTTACTTAATCACTGTATATGGTAAGGTAATTGCATTTGGCGTAGAAATATGTCTAGGAGATGCTTACACATATCACTCAAGTAAACAATTTTCGCATGGTACTAATGGTTTTGGTTGGGTCAACAAACAAGTGGAACTGGTACGGTAGAACGAAACTGCGGCAAATGCAGTGGAATAAAAAATGGGACCATATTTATTCAAAACAGGTAGAGGACACATATAGGATCATTGCTAGACTTTAATGTAGTGCATACGTGGATCGTTTAGGTGTTTAAAGAAAACTGGCAAATGTATCTAGATGCGTGTTAACAATAAGTCTCTAGACAATGCACTGCATCAGGAAACAAGCTTCATGGATCATACAAGCAATGTGCAGTTCTATAGGTGCCCTAGGAAAAATTGTAGAGGAACAGTTGAAAAAATGCACCCGCGTGCATGCCGTCACAAGTCTCAGCAGCATATCACAAGTAATGGAAACTATTTGAATAACACGGCGCAAAAAGTTGACCTTGTCAGCTTTCTTGTGATCACAAAGAGTATGGAATCGCCCTGTAGCTTGGAATCGTTTATGCACGGATTTCTCTTCCTGTTAAGATTCCAAAGTTGATCGGCGCAGGGTCACATTACTTATTTTTTCAACAAAAGTTGATTGGTGTATCTCTTTGCACTATTTCACTTATCGGTGCACACCTTTGATGCACTTGCCATTGGCTTGAGCGTAATTGTGCGGATATTTTTCCAAATGTCTTTCTCATTGGTTGATGCAGTGTAAAGAGAGCCATGTGCATAAAGCCTGTTGCTCTTCGAGAAAACCTTGAAGATTTCAACAGATCCTAATTATTGCGAGCATATCATCCTAGTCGAAGGAGCGCACTACATAGAGTACACCTCGGTGTGTTCAAAGTGGTGAGCGGGTCGTTTGCATGGCTAGCTGAATTTGCCCTAGTTGCTTGCGTTGTAAGCCAACGCTACCCGGTCAACACATTTTCGTGTTGTTTATGTAACTTCACGCTTTCTCAATGGTGAAAATGATCGCCAGTATACCCCGAGTCCAGTCAGCTGATTCAGTTACTTTTTGTGGCATTACAAGTTGCCATGTACTTATCATCTATGTGTAGAGCGTAATGCAATACGTACTTTGTAGTAAATAGTTCTACGAAGCATGCATTTGTTTGACTCCGGAACAGTTTGCTCTTCAGGCAAGCAGCAAGCTTTTTCTTTGTAGGGTTTACGACGGTTAAAGTCTACAACTCAGCTCTGGGTGATCAAGAAGGAATGATTTGACGGGACAAGGGATTCCTTTATTTTTAACTGTTGGGGGGGCCAATGCTGCGATTTACGTCTTCCATTGTTCTGGGCTAGGTGAAACCGCTGATTTGATGCTCTTTCCAACCAGGGCTAGCAAAGAAGTCAGCAATGACTATTAAGATGCGTTTTATAATTCTGCTGTTAATGTTAGGTAGCAGCGGGCCACCTTGACCGAAAAAATAGGCGGTGCATAAACCTGGAATGTTGCAACTTAAGGGAGCAATGGAACATGCGGAATGTCGGGCAAGCACTTTGTCTAAAGATCCAACATATGTAAATTCTAATGTCTCGTCGCTGCAAGTATCCTCTTACGCGGCCATTGCTTCAACACAGCAAGTTACTCAGCTACAGGCTCCCGCGATGGTTTTGCGAGGGGGTAAGGCACTCATAGCCACATTGATTCTTAGGTTTATATTTTTAGTAAATTCACAGTGTCAGCATACCTTTAGCAAGGAGGGGAAGTTTTGAAGAGTTGTAATTCCTTAACGTGTGCATTTATAAGCTAATATCCCTGGGTTCCTTGATTTAAATGTTTCGAGGCTTAGGATGATTTGTATCGTATGGATGAACGTGTTTTAGATTAGACACGATTTACCGTATGTTGTTCACTTAAATTAGTTGAGCATGAAGCAATTCTACGTTTCGCTTTTAGACTTTAGGGTTCTACTATTAGTACTCAACCTGATCACTATTTAACTACTAATTTGAAATTAGAATGCACCATAGTGCAGTGTTTGTGAAGTGTCTCATGTTGCGTTTTTGGGCAGTGAGTCGAAGTTTAACTCCTGCCCTACCAGATCCCCTTCAGTTAGACCATGATCCCCGGCTATCGACCTATGGATATTTTAAGGCTTTCCGCAGTAAGATTACAACCTGGGGAACGATATATGTGTGATCGCCGCTCGAATGGAAGGGGACTAGGCTGACTTGCTTTTATTGAAAGGTGGTTGCTCTCCGACATCCTGGACAGTGAATTACGTCTACGGGCTATTCATTGTAAGCCCTAATCACATTACAAATTGTCGTGAAGCTAGAGTTGTTCTGTACATCAGATCCACACTAAACATTTGCAAACATAAATGACTAATTTCCAGGATAGACATACTAAAATATCTTTCAATAGTACGTGTACTTCACTAGCGCAATTCAAAATTGTGGTTGTATACCGAAGTTTTGAAATTATGTCAAGCAACCGTATTGCTTTCATGTGTACTCATACAGTAAATAGATGCCTGATTTTATCTGGATTTAGATGCTTCTGTGATCGATTAGTTCGATTTCCTTTGCAAAGTGCATGTGTCAGACTGTCTACGTTCAATATATCAAACAAAATACGCACAACTCGTGTAAGAGTTGAGTTTTTAAGTGACAGTGTTGCTGTGGGGCACTTGCAGATGTTAGTTACTAAACAACTGGTTGATAAGCACTCAGCAATGAGTTCTCGAGAACGTTGCAATGAACTTCATTTTGAATCAAATCAAATTTGAATTTAGCAAACATGATGTGTGGTTGGGTTGTTACTCGCAACAGCTAAATTGTCCTCAGTTCACTTTGAGGTAACCCTCGGTCATTTGGATCGCGATGACCGTTTCCGGAATGTAAATATTTCTCTTTTCTTACGGAGTCTATCAGTTATATATGCTCTTGTGAAGTTTTGTATGCTTGAACGAAATGCTAAGTTTGTACTGTCATTATTCAGCTGATCAATCGTGTAATAGATTGCTAAACAGACGACTCACACTCCCTTGATGTTGTAGTTCTTACCCCAGCCATCTTAAGGAAATTGTCCAGCACCTGCTCTTTTACACGTGATAAACTCATGAGTATTATTTTCCCAACCATGCGACGGCTACTACAACATAACTTGTTAATTACCAGTTTACAATCTTTTCATCAGGTGCAATATAGTGTTGATTAATATGGGTTTTATACACAGGGATTGATAACGTTTTCTTAATAATTGCATTATGTTTTTCTTAATTTCTCCACAGAGTCTAAAAGCGTTGGAGCAAAATTCAGCTATCCGTGAAGCCCTCTATAATTTCAGACCACATGAACCCCAGAAAGGCTCTGCTCTCATTAAAATTGAGCTCGTATTTAATAAAACAGAATTAGAACGCCATAAAATAAGTTACAAATCAGCAGAATTTTTGAGAACAATTTTTGATCTCTTCAAATCTTATGCAACCTGGGGTGAAGTGGGTGACCAAAGTTATTTTGGTACAATAACGGAAATTACAAGTAAGTTCTACTTCTAACAATTGATGGATATGTGCGTTTACATGACAACTAATATGTCTTCGGTTGTACATAAATGTTATTTTGTAATTTCCCGATGATTTATATTATGCTCGGATTTTACGCTGACATCAAAGGTTTAGATGCCTGATTTGTATATGAAAGATACGTATGCATACCTGAAATATATCTGGACAGGGTAAGACCGGTAAACAGGCAGAATTCATATGAAAAGCCGGAGTAAAATATCTAATTAATACTCCATAGATTCTTAACTTAAATATCGTGGTCACTGCGACATTTATTAAGCTGGTCATCCAAAGTACCTGGAGCAATGCTGTTGTTAGTTAAATTAATTGGACGACCTAATTTAGACAGACATATAAACTGCCATTCGAAAACGGTAGTTATAATAATAATGATAATACAAATAACAATAAGTGCTAAATTAAACTAGTTAAACATTTTACTTATCTAAATATTGTGTTTTATGCTAGTTGCTAAGCACTCTTGCCATAGTTTACTTAATTCAACGCAAAAGCCTGGTTGATACAGTTTTCGACTAGCTTTTAATATTTGGCTATGCTTACTTGTCCAGTATGTCTAAGTAAAGCTGGTCTCTACAAAAGCGTTCGTGAGACCCTTTACCAACTTACTTAACATTTATTAATATTTGCCAAATATAAACGAGCTATGCAGTGAAAAACAGTGTCTATAGCGTTATTCGATTGACAAAGAATATGGCACACCATGCCTTTCCGCGGAATGCTACCCTTCCATTATGCCAAGCGAACGTTTCCTGCTGTGTGGAAACCTGGGCAAAGAGTGTACGAACTGGGATAAAGTGTTCTACCAGTTTTAATAGTGCACAAACGAAATGCGCTTATTTAAGATAAGGCGAGGCCACGAATCAAAAGAAGAAACAAAGAAAACTTTAAGCATAACATATACGCACTACTGTCCCTGTAGCTCATAATTCATGGCGACGTACCAAGGCTCTATGCGGAAGTCCTAGCTCTTGGGATTAAATGATTTCCCCTACATAGTTCGTAACTTGCATGGCATTAGAAGATGAGCCGGGCTATGTCACAGTCAACTGTCAATCATGCAGATCCATGGTTGTTACCCATGACGAAGTTGCAGTATATTTTGAGATCAGGACGTCATGTACCTTGCAAGGGTCCGGTAGTAGGTACACCACAGAGGAGACCATGAAGATTGAAACAACGGTGTCTGGCGCTTTTCCAGAATGACCAGAGATTGCTGACTGTACGTGTATCTTGATGAACTGTCTCTAAATAACTTTTGATTAGCTCTGCTTGAATTTGCATGGTTTGTATTTTATTTAGTTAACATTTAGCTGTGGTGGAGCAAATGTGTCACTGACTCGCAGATATTGTAGAGAGGTAAACTATAGTATGAGCTCCCTATTGGACCCAAACAAATCGGTGCCTCAGATTCTTTGTCACTCATCTATCTACAAATCAAAACAGCGCAATCTGCGATGGTCCAATAGAAGCAATGAGATATTAGGCACTGCTAAAATCTAATTTTTAACGCTTGGAAATTTGGCGTCGCCAGATGGTCTGTTCCGTAGCACAGGATTTAGCAACTCGCTGTGGTATAGGAGTGACCGCTGAAGCCTCCACAACACACGTGTTCGATGTCTCCGCTCCCATGCTATATAGCCCGTCTATCGGAAACTTGACCAATGTTAAATTAAAGCGTAGTCAATGCTGTTACTTAGATTGGATGGCATGATGCTATCTGTTCTCTGAGTATAGGAAAAAACCACATAAGAAACACGAGGTAAAACCAATCAACCTTGAAATTCATTGACTGATAATTGCCTGAATTTGAGTTGCATCCATCCTGCCACATAAAATAAGGGTACTCCTTTTGTCAAATTGTAGGGATGCAAACGAATCTGGTTGTATTATGCAACTAGTTCCTCATATATTCTTAGTGTACTAATTTAAACCGCGACTACTCCAAATAAACCTTTAGTCGGAAAATGGTACAAAAGCCATTGGATTGTTAGAAAATCATCTCCAAAATGCCACATACACTCTTTGCACTTTTCCAAATCTGCTTCAGAGCTTTGGTCAAAACATAAAACCCGAGGCGTTAACCGTGACAAGCGGAAGCAATCGATGTTTGTATACGGTGTCCTAGATATTTAAGCTTTATGGGACATGACCATAACTGATGGCACTACGTGCTTAAAGTGTTTACTCGCAAAAGCGTGATTAGTGTCTCAACCTGAAGCAATAAATCAACCTTCGTGTAAAAATCGGGCGTCTACGAGTGATGATATTACCATGCCTTTCCAGATCCAAAGCATAAAAAGCAGTGGAAGCATGACATGAACCGCGCAGGTAGCCGCCATTCTTAATATATATATATATATCACGACGAAAAATTGAAGACAAATATAACAAACACATCTAAGGAGGCAGATGTTGTGAGCGAATATTGCAACATGCAACTCAAAACCACAACCCTGATAAAACACTTCTTCAAATAAGAAAAGATCCTGGCTAACAATCACCTGATGGAACTTGATGCAGCCCACACCCCAAATGGAATGGCCCTGCGATGTCGTCTGCAATTCAGCAAATAAACGATTAAAAGTCTGTTGTGTAAAAGCAGCCTAAGACCTCGCCACAAATCTGCATTTACTATGTGCTTCTATTCTCTGAGACCCTCACTCGCATTTGAGCCAACATGCGGGGTCTTCTCAGTGAGCTAACCGAGCTTCGATCTCATAATTCGTTGACGCATCTGGAAGTATTACTGCTTACCTTATCTTGGCTGACTACTGATATCATTGATGTCGAGATGGCTCTGATTTGTATGATTTCGAGAGGATTACTGCGGCAGAATAGGCAAAGTGGTCTTGTATTGAGCTGCACATAGATAGTATCTGCCATATATAAATGCAAGTTGTCGATTCTTTTTCATGCCGTCTGCATTTGAGACTTGGTTCTGTGTTTGCTAACACTAGTTTACTAACGTTTAGGTCATCCATAGAAATTTATCATTAGTTAGCTTTTTTTGAATTTGGTTCTGTCGCGTATACACTGTCAGGTCCAACTGGTGTAATAATTCATCAGGCTGGCATTCGAATTTGCAGTTTCTTACAGCAAAATATTCAAATCAACATTTTAAAATAGTAATAACAAATGTACCGCTATTACATTATGCCGCCATTCATAAACTATTCCTAACAGATTTCGAAATATATGTTTTGGAATCTGTATACACAAATTAAGAACTAGTGGTGACAACGGTAACGAATGACGCAGTGCTTGGCCGTAGAGAGCAAGCGAAGCTACTTTGACGACATAGTTGCTACCTAGATGTTATTAACGGAATCACTGAGATAGTTCACGTCGGCAACCCTTACAGCATCCTGTTTGAATTTGTCATTCGCTCAGCCTCCTCCCGACTTTGCTTAAGCAGGAAGTTATCGTTCAGTTCTACCATCTATAACTCACATATCGAAGATATGCAAACGCAGACAAAATATTCGTAAATGTAATATTGTAATACACTGAGAGTCAAATAACCTCACAGCAGTAGGACGGTTTCCGCCCAATCCCATCATGCAATAACCATTTACTGTTAGTCCGAGCAAGTTGGATGGAACCCGCCGAAGCCAAGGTAAAAATAAATTGACTTTACACAGACTACTCTAAAGCGCTTCCCAGCCTGACCACCAAGTTTATTGCACAAGCATCAAAATAATGGGGTGAAATACTCTTTTCTGGTGAATAAGCAAATCACCTCTCAAGATCAATTAAACTTTAGAATCCGCAGTGCTGTTTGTGACCTTATTGTGATATAAAGCAACGGATTCCCAGGTCCTTTATTGAGAGTACGTTTACTTCTAGGCTTCATAATTTATCTCCCAAATCTGCTTCAGATAAACTTCCGAATATATGCAGACATTCTCAAGAGCTAGCAAAAATTTACGTACATAGACGATCACACGATAATTCTCTGAGACTTCGAAATGGCTGTGTGTTCTCGTCGAAGAATTATTCCCCTTTATAACTTCATGAAATGCAAGGAGTTGTAACCATGCAATCAGCCTATTCATGAATATGACATTTAAGAACTACAGTAGGAGTGCTCTAGACCAGTAATCGATCTCGACGAACTTGTGCAGGACGAGCTTGGCTACTGAAAGGATAACGATGGAACATCCAGGTTTTCAAGTATGCAATATGGCATCCTAAGGGGTTTTCAGGAAGTTTCAGTCTATTAAGTTTCGCAAATGATGAGCGCCTACGTAATACCTAATATATACTATGCTAAGCAAGACTAGTGTGCCTTGATAAGTGACGATGTTGGTGCATTTGAAAAGGCATAAAACTAAGTGATCAAATTCGCTAGATAGTTCTTCCATCTTCACAACTAACTGAGACTACAGCCCTATGTCTGTACAGCAATGAATATTACGTATTTGACCAGCTCACATAAGAATGTATCTGGTATTGGAAAACCCCAATCAGGCCTATCAGTTCCGTTGTAATCCAACCGAAATACATACCTCAGATCGCATGGGCTTAAACACGTTTATTACGAAAGTCAAGCAGCCTGCTGGCGAAGTGTGTTCACTTTTAGGGTTCCCGACGTTGGAACATTCTGCAAACTTATGTCATACTTGCGCCTAAGTGAAATCTAATAGACGAGCCACTTGATGATATGCGATCATACAGGCATTAATTGTTTATGTCCGTTGTACTCATGAGACAAGTTGCTGCTTAACAGATAATGGGCTGACTAGCCTTGTCTATAAGTTGGGTTGAGTTATTCTGCGTTTATGTTTAACAGTTTTGGTATTAATTTAAAATCTGCATTAGCTGTTTTCTAGCATTTTTAACAAATTATACGTCCTTGCTACAGTCAGCCAGGGGGAATTATCATACTGTGTATTTAGGTTGATTACAAATAAATACTTATTGTCTCTTGCATACGTAACTGCTTTTTATTTTACATCCGTCCTCTGAAATACTAAAACACTTGTTTGAGGTTCATTTGAACATCTGTTATGAGAAGCATTAAATATTTAATTTTCCATCCAAATTTATTTTAATATTTATATTACACCACATGACACTAGATTAGTATTTAATACACGATCTTTGTAAAAATCCTAAAAATATCATCTGTTTTAAAAATGTAATTTTGTTTATTTGATATGCGTTGAAAATTAATTGGAAACCAGAAAACTCTCTAACCTGCGTAGTCAGCATATGTGTTCCTTGCTTTTCGTGTTACGTATATTTTGTATTTTACAACTATTTTTAACAAAAACGGCTTATGGTTCATCTAAATTGGCTTGTTGGGTATGGACATGTAATTTTAAATCTTTAGGTGCAATAACCATGAATACGGGAATGCTACAGCCGCGCTGATGTTTCTATGGTTGCACACTACAGATAATATTTCTGCTTTACAGCAGTTGTTTTGGTGGACCGTAAAAGGTATCAGTTGGATGGCCAATATTTTGGTTTATCCTGTAGGGTCATGCTAAACTTTCTGGAACCAAAGAACATTCCCAGAACGATCGTGTAGTTCCTAGAGTTTTACATCGTGAATCAAAGGACTGAGTTGCAATATATCTTTAATCAGATTTGATAAGTTGGAATGACATTGGAAGCAAAATAAAATGGTTGTGAGGATAATATAATATAATTATTTTCCCTTTTACTTTTGCTATAGCAAGGTGAAACACATGCACATAATGATTATATTTGAACCAAAAACTGAGTTTCAATATCCCGACTTAAATATGTATGTTAGTCCCATACTGCTTTAGTGCAGATGGCAAAACGGTATATTCTAATCGTTATTGTTTCTTAATTTTAGGTGAGGTCGACAACAATACATACTCTTTTTATCCGAATGAGGTCTTCACGCGTTCTGAAGAAAGAACACATTATTTCCAGTCACTATGTAAGTTGCACTAAAATTAGTGTTTCCTGAATTTCGTAAGTCATTAGTAAATTTCTTGATTACTCGTAGAGCCAGCAAACTGCCCTTGTTTCACTCTATACGTGAGTTGCAGTTTTAAAACTGTCGGTGGTGATTTTGAACTCGGCCAACATCGGAATCGCAGAAGTTTTCAAACATTGCGAAATATTAGGACCGATGCTTCACTCGCTGATCAAGTTAGCTGAATTTGACCTTACTATGAACTACGGTCATACATGTTAATTAATTACTTCACAGCAGATTTCACACAAGTTTGGATGTGTAAAAGTACGTGTAGAGTGCTAGAACAAGTGTTGCTTATACGGTCCCGCAGTCTGCAATCCTCTGTTACCATAGTATAACTGCAAGCAGTAAACACGCTTTGGCTTTCGTTCACTGCAACTGACGTAGCAACGGACGTAGGCAACAGGAAAGAGTTTTTACATATATGTTGCTTTTTACTGGTTTTTATTAGGGCAATGCGACGGTATTGCAATTTATTGAAGTGCACATCGAATTTGTGATCGAGTTCTGTTTCGGGCATTTTTAAATATTTTCCTCAGCTAAGGTTTTTAGACCAATGAAAAAGCTCGGCTAGAATTTTGATTTTTGTTCTACTAATTACGTCATGTATTTGAGCTGGATAAACGGATATTTTGCCATACTAATTTATTTGGAACAAAGTTTATGAACTCCTTTTGTGTACACTTCTAAAGATTGTGAATTGCTGCGTAACATAACTGCGTTTTACACTTTACCTTCCTTTTTGTATTAGGTTCAGGTTCCTCGGCTAACCGTCTAGCAAGACACATATTTATTTTCCTGCTGATGAAATACACAAGGACTTTACTGTGAGATGAATTTGAAAGGATCTCGTTTACCGACATTTGTTGGTGAACGTAACTGGTTTAATGTTATCCGAGTCAGACTGTGAGCCGACAGCCAAGAGCATAGGTGATTTCTGGATATCATAAACAGACAGTTACTTAATCCAAATTAATGCGATGAATAATGTATTATTATTTTGCAATTTACAAAAAGACTTGTCAGATAAAGAAGCTCATTTCTGTACCATTTTTTCTAATTGGCCATAAATACAACAACTTATTTGCTTAGAGTTAAGCAGAAATTCAGTTATTTTGCCGTCTATAGCTGGCGCAGCAAACCAGAATCATTCAAAATATACCCCATATTTATTCACAGTGGCTTGATTCCGTTTATTCGCACTAAGGAGACAATAGGAAACATTAAAATCTCGGTTTTTAATTTCTCACTGCGCTATTTCAAATTAGAAAGCCGTTAACCTGCTGTCTTTTGTGCTTAGTTTTGTTTAACAGGCGTGTTTCTTGAGCGTAGCTCTTTTTAGCATTTGCATGTATATTAGAGTTGTAACTTGTACCGTACGATTCTGAACTAGATGTTGTGGGCTAACTCTAACAATCTGCTGATTCCGGTTGGCCAAACTGACTACTTAAGAAGGGGTATTCTCCTGTAGAGCAAAATACGTGATTGTTTAGCAACGACGGTCCATCTTTCGGTGTAACAATATCTGGTTAAAATATTTGTCCGATGACCTGCGTTTCACTTCCCCAGCTATTCTACTGTTGTAACTGAGTAAGTGTTTGCTTCGCAACCTTCTTATAATTGTCTTTGTGGTTCCTTTTATCAGTGAATAGTTGTGGAACTGCACAATTTTCACATATCTTACAAGAAAGTTGACTACCTGATAAATGGAACCTGTGTTTTGACAACTTGTGATAGGTCTTACCCAATGCATGTTGGGAACCGAAGTTTGTGCCTTCTTAACTATTCAACGGACTACATCAAAGCTGTATCACATGTAGGGGAGATGCGTAAAAGTGTGACACGAAAACGACATGAAAGTAGATTTCCCCTACCCTCTTAGCCTCCAAGCCATGAACCTATTGTCACTGGACTATCCTCACTACCGTAGAGACCTCGTCTTCATCCGACGTATATTAAGAAGGGAACTTGAAACTGAACTGCGGCAGTTTTCCAAATGCAACGTAGAGGGTCCAACACGAGGTCACACTTGGAAAGTATTAATTTCAAGGATGGCCGGAGTCCGCTCCACGGGCGCGCTTTCTACTCGAATGGTAAGCGACTGGAACAGTCTCCAAGAAACTGCACTCAGAGCACAGACTGAGGACAGTTTCAAGAGTCTTTTGCATTTGCTCCGGCGCAAGATGCTGGAACAGCAATGCGCCTCTGGGACTTCCCTGGCCACTTATGAACTGGAGGGTCGCTAAGGCACAATTGCCTCTCATATTGATCTGGAGGCGACAAGGCTAACAAGGGCTTCCCTTCTGCCTTCTACAAATCAATGAAATGAATAAAATTAACGACTACACAGTGGTACACAGCTTTAAAGCTCATTATTTAGTAATTACGAATTTTGCCGTTGAGTCCTACGTTACTGTGTCATGGTAGATTCAACGATTTATTTGGATAACCATTTTTATATGAGACAAAATGGCATCTTTCCTGGACACACAAAAAGGAATATTAAAAATCAATATAATGTTATTTCCGAATAACTCGAAAGCTTTCAGTATACTAGATATCCAATTGTAGCAAGCATGTGTTTTGTTTTGGAACACACGCCCAGGACGGAGAAAATTGTAAAGTTGGATAACGCAACAGGAGATGTTTAACGCAGTAGTTCAGAAAAACGCTGACAGATCTAATATGACTGATCTACATACCAGTTATTGCTGGAATAGATCTTGATCAAATTTACTGGTTCATCTCAGCTGCTCATCAGCAAGATTAGTCTAACCAAAATCTGGAACAAATGCAAATGATCATTTTTCCCATTTACGCTCGCAGCAGCTTTGACGTGGGGTCGTGCGGGTCAGAATTAGATGTTAGTACTTGCAAGGAAAGTTCATTATAATTCCGCCTACTGCAAAATAACCACATTTATTTAGTCAAACAATTGACAAATAATGGATAGCTGACTTGTGGGCAGATATAAATTTTACATACGCTTGGGCAAGTATTTCGATCAATTTTCATAAAACACTCCATGGATAAATTATATATATGGGTGCAAATTAAGATCAATTATTGCTTAAGTATTTAGGCGTTGGATACCTTCGTATTATATACAAGTCAAGGTATTGCAAAGCAAGCTGCATGTACCCAATTGGGCACAATTTCATCACATAAAGATTCGAATACGGATTGGCAATAATCCCATTAATATAATTGTAAAGTTGCACTATTAGGGAAAGGAGCACAGTGCACATTAGTAGATTACCTGAGCGGTCCGGTATCATCAAGTAACAATTACGCTGTCATTGAAAGAATAAACTGTGTACGTGGTATGCTTATGATAACACTCAAAACGCTTGTTTTGAACACAGAATGACAAATCCGCACATTGCCAAAATGTGTCAAGCAAGTAAATAGCTTACAAAGCGAGTAATTCGAACTTCCATAAAAAATCAGTGTAAGACATTAATAAGTGTCCTGGAATTAGTATAACTAAAGGCTATATTAACAACCTCCACGAAAACTGCTTCAAATCTAGTTGATGAGAATAACATATTGCAGGGATAAGGCAACTAACCATTTAAATTGCCCGCCACACTGACGCTGATGTTAATTTCTGTCTTTGAACTGTCACAGGATTTTGGTTTTTATTTCTTATCTATGAATCTCTGTGAGGTTCTCAAGCAAAGTACTTATTTATATCACTAGATATATATATATATATAGTCCAACATGGTGAAAGGCAAGCAATGATAGACCATGATACCAGACTACTGGATACTAACGAAGTCTTGAAACGGTTAACAAAGAACGATGGTGTAATATATTTAGTGAATATTTTGTTTTCATCAAGGTACCGTATGAGATCACTGCTGCTGCTGCACCGATGTGCTACTCTTCCTACCATCACCACCGTGGGAAGGTTGTGTGCACCCAATGTGGCGATGTTTGTATGGATTTCTTATAAAGTGAAAAATAAACCTGAGTTTGGAAGTATCCAGCGATAGGCTGCAGGATTTGTACCAAGCTGTGAGGTTCCCAAGTATACTTATGTGCACCCTGGGTTAGGTCTTCTGGGTATTTCAGCATAGTTGCTTCATTCAATAGAGAGATTGAACATTCAGCTGAAAAATTCAGCTCGAATAAAAAACTATGTGTGTTCGTCACAATCAGCCGACAATTCAGATAAGTCAACTACCTATCCGGAAAAGCACCAGATAAGTAATTGACTTATCTGAATCGCCAGCTGATTGCGACGAATAAAAATACTCACCAAAATCCTTCTACTCATAAGTAAACCATTTGTTGTGATTAATGAGGCGTTCACTCATAAATCATGTAAACTTCGTGCATTTGATAAAATAATCCTTCAGCAGACGGAGAACCGTGACTTGAAGTCCAGAGAATATGAGATCGCCTAACGACGGTAAACGGTTAACATAGCCAAAGTCTTTGCTATCGTTCAGCAAGCAGATGCTTATTCTATCTGATGAGATTAAATGATAAGAATACGCGTCATGAAGTGAAGTGTTTTCAGGCCAGCAACAGCCAATTTACATCTCTTTCGACTGCGGTCCTAGTGCTCGAATGACCGAGGTTCACTTCTCTAATCCCAATGAGATTGCGCGTCGCAACTGATCCACACAACGTGCACAGTACAATCAGTCAATGACCGTTGTGCCAATCGTTGCCCGTCGTGGCCTGATGCCAACAGTGGTCGAGGTTTTGGCTGCTATTAGGGCGCTCGCGGGTCCGATGCTTGCAACGTCTATCGGATGGAAGCAAATAGATGTGGGTGTAACCATATTGTTTTCAGTTATGGCACTGGCGTAATAATTGCAATTCGCCAGATGTCAGCGCTATTGTGTTTGTTTAACACAACTTGTTTAATTCCGGGGAAGAAGGTATCAGACAAGTAGCATAGTTCTTGCGGACGAGTGAACACTATATAGCCCGACCGTATGATTTGTTCTTTTTTAACTTAGACATTGCCTCGTAGAGTTTTAAGCTATTCACGAAACGTGGGTTATTTGTAGGCAGTTGTAACTCATTGGAGACAAAGTTGGTCTTTGGATCTTCTACATGCTCATTGGTCTGCGTGGTTTTGTTAGTAACTCTACCTAACCATTTTAACATGTAAATTATTTTAGATAAATGCTGCTTCCTAATATGGCTTAAAGTTTCATATACTTGACCCGACACAATTCGATCACTGTCCATAGGCAGTAATTTTAATATAACAATGATTTGCCTTTGAATGTCGGCTGTCACTTGTCGGGTTGTTTCAAGAAGCTACCTGCACGAATAAAATTTTTCAGCGTCACAGAAGATGTAGCAGAGGAGTTTTAGACAATTAGTTAACTGATCGCACTAATATAACAAGTTTGCATTATAAGGTAAAATAAATATTTTCGGCAATATATTTTTGCAGTCTTTCCATTTTCAAAACAAATTATTCTCCTTGCGTGAAGATTCGGTCTTTCTAGCAGCTACGAATTCTGTATTTCGCCTCGCAATGGATAATAGAGAACACTTTACAATTGAGTGAAGGTAGCTGTTAGACGGTGCCGACATACAGAATGAGACCTTGGTCAATGTTTTGCCAAATAAGTAATTTAAAGTGTTTTATAATGTGCTTGAAGATTGCGCAATGCTCGTTAGCCCACATTTTCAATAAATCCTGCTGTCACACTTGTTAAAACACCCACAACATTTTCGTAAAGATATATCCAGATATTCAAGGTCATCTGCTATTATTCCGTTGTGCAGTTCTTCGGGTTCGACGCCGCGGCTGCAAGCGAATGACCAAGTAAACTAATTGAACAGTGATGTATTTT